CATATATAAATATTTTCTAAACAGAAAATGATTTTTGTTACATGAAGTCTAACTTATTTATTATCTTTCTTCTTGTGGTGGTGAATAGGTAACTCTTTTCTATTGCTCCTAATGGATTTAATTAGTCTTAAATAATCTGTTAGCAGGATTGGTAATGTTTAAATCACGCTACTAGCAATGAATTATTAAAAATAGATCAGAACACTCTAGTATTTTATAGTCAGTAAAATGTTTCCCTCAAAATGTTTTATGGCAAGTAGAAATTTAAGCAACTTCTTTTTGATGATATTGGAAATATATGATCAATGAATAAAAGTAATAGAATCTACTGAAATGATTAAATATACAATGCGGAGACTTTGTATGTTATTTTAATAAAAATCACTTATGATTAAGACATTTAGAGCTTACTTAAGTTTTTCCCATATAACATTTTATTTTAACTTAGGACGTTTTCTCTAGAACATCATAACAGAATCTCCAGTGTCACTGATATGAATTTCAGAAATACTCAAAATGGTATGAGATCAAGGAGCATGATGATACTAAAGTTCTGGTAAAAGTTGTTAACTAAAAAATAAAAATGAATTAACAAGGTTTATACTTTGGAAAAAGGAGAGCTTTATTTCTCATAAAGGGTAGCAGCCTGGTGGGCGACCATTCCAACAGGTGGGGAAGCAGATCCCAGGTCAGAAGCCAGGCACGTAATTCAAAGAAGAGACAAAAGGCATCAGGACTGTATGCTGAGTGGGTGGTCAAATATACAAATCCAACAAGCTATAGGAAGAACCATGAATATTTATGAAGGGAAGTCATATGCATATAATTGTGCTTTATCTCTCCCATCCTGTCACGTCAGTCACGGTTGTGAACTCAGTTTTGAGGTATGTATACAATGGACTATTACTCAATTATAAGAAACAACAGTGATCTGGCACCTCTTATATTTTCCTGGATTGAACTTGAGCCCATTATCTGAAGTGAGGTATCACAAGATCGGAAGAATGGGCTCCACTTGTACTCGCCATCAAATTGGCACTGATTAACACTATGGTGCTCACATGGCAGTAATATTCTCCAGGGTTTAGGGGGATGAGGGGATAAACTCACAACTAAAGGACACAGTGAACATTGTAGAGGGGAAGGGCATGCCTCTAACCCTCCTGTGGGTGAGGCAAAGACGTAAAATGTAACCAAAATGTTTGTACCTCATAATACCCTGAAATAAAAGAAAAAGAAAATAAAAAAGGCATTTTTGGGGTACCTTTCGCCCAGAGGGGTCCGTTCAGTTAGAAAAGGGCTTAGGATTTTATTTTTAGTTCACAAAGTTCAGTAGAAAAAAATGTTTGTGTAGTTTTTTTTGTGTGTGTGTGGAGAAAATTGTAGACCTTTGCACGTGAACACATCTGAAGCTTATGTCTTGTGTTTAACATTTGTGTTGCCATCCTAAAAGCATGTTCAAAATTTTACAACCATCCTACCTAGATTCAAATTAGCCAAAAGTCTTTGTTTGAAAAGATACCCAGAGATTTCTTGAGAGTGTCACAGTCAGACTGAGTGGTGGTTTATGTACAAATCTATAAGATGGAGTTGATAGTTTTTGTTTTAGTCTTGGTGGAAAACTTGCAATAATTCACCATTGCAAAAGAAAAAACATTGATGACTTATGTTTTATAATTTACATAGCTGATATGCTGCGTTGCCAAAACTGACGTTCTGTCGTATTTTGTATGTATCTCATAGAGTATGTGCATTCTTTGTCTCTCTTTCTCAAGTAGGTCTGTAGTTGCTGTGATTTCACAAGAGATGGGGGTTGTTGGACATTATTTAAGCTTCTCTACACTCTCTAGTATAGTCAGTGTGTTGTGGAGAACAAAAGAAAGTGAACTATGTCACATCATAACATTTCTGTCCTAGTAGAGCATGACCTTCCGCATGTTCCCCAGTGATGTGCCAATCATGTCCTTTAGTTCCGAAACAGAACATTACTTAGAACTTCCTAAAATATGATTTTAGGAACATGAATTTTGACATTACAGCATATCAGCTGTGTACATTGTAAAACATAAATCACAGTTCTTTTTTGTTCTGTGCTGGTGAATTACTGCAAATTTTTCGCCCAGATCAACACAATAACAACAACAAAAAAACCTATGAACTCCATCGTGTGGATTTGTAGAGTAACCACTGCCAAGTCTAACTGTGACACCATCAGAAATCTGCGTGTATGATGAACATTACTTAAATGTTAGATGGATTGAATTTGATCTTCTATTCTTAAAGTTCAAGTATATCCGGGGGATTAAAAATGGAAAGTCTGAGTATTACTGCTAGACAATGGTAGCCCTTTAGTTAAGATTCTGGCTCATAATGCCACACACAACCAGTTTTTAAGGGAAATACTAG